TGGTCAACATGGTGAAACCCCGTCTCTACTAAAAATACAAAAAATTAGCTGGGCATGGTGGCGCGTGCCTGTAGTCCCAGCTGCCCAGGAGGCTGAGGCAGGAGAATTGCCTGAACCCAGGAGGCGGAGGTTGCGGTGAGCCGAGATCGCGCCATTGCACTCCAGCCTGGGTAACAAGAGCGAAACTCTGTCTCAAAAAAAAAAAAAAGGCTTAAATTTCCAATGTGGGATGGTATAGTATTTGCATATAGCGTACACACATTCTCCAACATACCTCGCTATCTCTAGATTATTTATAATACCTAACAAAAGTGCTATGTAAATAGTTGTCCTACTGTATTATTTGTGCTATTTGTATTAGATTGTTTTTTGGGGTTTTTTGAGACGAAGTTTTGCTTTTGTTGCCCAGGCTGGAGGGCAACGGTGTGACCTCGGCTCACCGCAACCTCCGCCTCCCGGGTTTAAGCACTTCTCCTGCCTCAGCCTCCCGAGTAGCTAGGATTACAGGCATGCGCCACCACACGTGGCTAACTTTGTATTTTTAGTAGAGACGGGTTTCTCCATGTTGGTCAGGCTGGTCTTGAACTCCCGACCTCAGGTGATCAGCCCACCTCGGCCTCCCAAAGTGCCAGGATTACAGACATGATACAGTGTTATTTTTTATTGTGGGTTTCTTTCCTCAAATATTTTTGATCTGTGCTTGATTGAATTGGTTGGTTGTGGATGTGGAGCCCACAGACCTGCAGGGCTGACTGTATGCAGTTACGGTGCTCGAAGGCGTGCCTTTGGCCTGTTAAGCTATAATTGCACCTGTGTAATGTCCTCATTTAGAGGCATGAGGACCTGCTATACGGGCAGATAAGAACACTGATGGGCAGTGGGCATGTGGTTGCAGCCTGTGTGCTGCCGGTTTTTTCCCACAAGTCTCCCCTGTTAGCACAGAAAACCCTTTTCCTGGGATGGCGCTCTCACCATGGGGCTCTTCCAGGTGGCTCTGCTGCTGCTGGTGAGCGTGGTCCCCACCATCCAGAAGGTGAGGGCAGGAGTCACCACAGATGTCTCCTACCTGCTGGCCGGCTTTGGGATCGTGCTCTCCCAGGACAAGCAGGAGGTGGTCGAGCTGGTGAAGCACCATCTGTGGGCTCTGGAAGGTGAGGCCTCCAGGGAGCCCCTGAGGGCTGCAGTGGGGAATGAAAGCTGGGAGACGCAAGGTCTGCTTGCTAGTCAGCCATGGACACACTGGGGGCCCTTGGACACGCACCTCTGCCCACCCCCCATCCTTCCCCTCCCTGGGTCTCGATTGCCTCATCTCCAAATTGGGGCAGTTGGTGCTTCTAGTTCTGAGCTTCTATGAAACCTAGAGGGACATCTCAGCAGCTCCTGCCCCTTGCCTGCTTCTGTGGCATCTCCCCACGCCACCTCAGTGTCTCAGACCAACTCTCTGGGCATGGAAATGAGGAAGGATGGGTGAGCTGAGGGTGGGAAGGAGGAAGAAGATGGTGATGGGGACGGTGAGGATTTCTGAGTGAATCCTCATGGCAGGGGGCTGGTGCTGGGCAGGGGGCCGGCGCTGGGCAGGGAGCCGGCGCTGGGCAGGGGACTGGTGCTGGGCAGGGGGCAGGCGCTGGGCAGGGGACCGGTGCTGGGCAGGGGACCGGCGCTGGGCAGGGGGCCGGCGCTGGGCAGGGGACCGGTGCTGGGCAGGGGGCCGGTGCTGGGCAAGGGACTGGTGCTGGGCAGGGCGCCGGCCAGGGGACTGGCACTGGGCAGGGGACTGGTGCTGGGCAGGGGGCCGGCGCTGGGCAGGGGGCCGGCGCTGGGCAGGGGACTGGTGCTGGGCAGGGGACTGGCGCTGGGCAGGGGGCCGGTGCTGGGCAGGCCTCATGCTTTCTCTTCCCTACTCCCTGTCTTCTGGAGCCATCTCCTTTCTCCTTTCCTCTGACAATGAGCTCCTGAACCAGGGAACCATCCCGGCCTCCTCTCCTGTGGTCTGATGCCTCCTGCAGCCACCTACCTACTCTGTCTCCTGGGCGCTCCCAACAGCCTTGTGCAGGGGACTGAGAAGTGGCCCCGCTTGACACACGGGGAGGGACTTGCCTGACGCCAGCCAGCAGGGCAGAGTGCAGCCAAGAGAACGCAGGGGTCCTGCAGCCTGAGGGGGGCTCTCTCCATCTGCAAACTTGCAGAGTAAATGCTGCTCTATTTGAGACAAAGTCTGTTGGTCACAACTGGTGAGGCATGTACCCTCGACGGACTTGGGGGCCTCGGGCTTTTGAGGAGTAATATGCGATGGTCAGAGCGAGGGCTGCCAGCGTTGCAGGTGGAGGTGTGGCTGCTCCGCAGCTGTGCCTGACCATTAATGTCATCCTCATCCCACAGACCTGGGCATGCAGGCCATGGTGGGGCCAGGGAGTAGGGGGTGGGCAGAGGTACATGCAGTGACCACTTCCTTCCCTGACGACCTCCACCATCTCCCTGAGCACCTCAGTTCCCCATAGTAGAGGCTTCCCTGGAACTGCTGCTGGGGCCCAAAAATTGGACAGGTGACAAATTCCGGGAGAGCCGAAAACGACCTCTCCAGGGAGATTTTCCAAGCTGGTTGCAACCTGGATCATAGGCAGGTGCAGACACGGTCCAGGTCAGCCCACAGCCAACCTCAGACCCTTGCTCACAGTGACCCTGTAGGTCACAGTGACCCTGTAGCATCATTGATCCCAGCTCACAGAGCAGGCAGTTGAGGCTCAGAGGCAAGAAGAGACACGTCCAGAGCAAAGGACTGACTGCTTCTGCTCATCACACCTTATGTTTATAATTGCATGTTGCAGTTTCCAAGCTCAAAGGCTCCCACTTGGGATCTTCTTGTGCCAGATAGAGCACCATTTACCCTCTAAGTCTGCAGATGAGGAATACCAAGGCCCAGGAGGATTCAAGATGTGGCCAAAGCCACCCCGCCACCTGGGCTCCAGTGTCCCTTGGTCCGTCCTTCACCTAAGGAGCTAATGTCTTCTGAGCTCAGAGCTTCTCTTGGGACTGCCACGCAGCACTTGGACCATAGCCTTGTTCACAGAGAGCTCAGACGGGGAGTCAGGCAAACTAGATGAGAGTCTCTGCTCCATCACTTACAAGCTGAGTGACCTTGGGCAAAGGGCTTTACCTCTCCTGAGTTCAGTTTCCCCACTTGCAAAATGAGTGCTGGCGTGAAAAAGGAACACTTGGCCTTGAGGCCCTCAGTCACATGAGGGAAGACAGATCCATCCCCAAAGCAGGGCCCAGAAGAAGGATCCCAGAGGTGGCAAACAGCAGGAAGATTGTGTGGGTGCTGGGCTTTGGGGGGCCCAAGTTGGGAACCCGTGGAGGGAGAGAGATAGGAGGTAGATGGATGGAGATCAGAGGCTGGGCCTATGGCCAGGGGACTGCTAACCCTTCAGCCTGTGTTAGCCTATTCACTCACCAGGCCAGCCTCAGCAAGACGGCTGCTCACCTCCTGGCAGCAGACGGTCTAGAATGTGCCCTCACTGCGGCCCAGCTGGCCCCAGCAGGGGCACTGTGGAGGCTGGAGCTGTGCATGACCATCGCTTTCTCCCAACCTCGCTTCTGAGAACAGTGTCCCTCGAGGGTCCTGGAGGAGGGAGCAAGGGACTGGCCAAAGGGTCTGGGTTTCTGTAGCATCATTCTCAGCCCTGGCTGAATCTGGGAACCATCTGCTGACTTTAACATTCCCCATGCTCAAGCCCCATGCCAGACCTACTGAACTGGAAGCTCTCAGAGTGGGGCCAGCCTCTATGATTGAACAGCCCTCCCAGTGAATTTTTTCTTTTTTCCTTTTTTTTTTTTTTGAGACGGAGTCTCACTCTGTCACCAGAGTGGAGTGCAGTGGCGCCATCTTGGCTCACTGCAACCTCCACCTCCCGGGTTCAAGCAATTCTCTTGTCTCAGCCTCCTGAGTAGCTGGGATAGCAGGCGCCCGCCACCATGCCCAGCTAATTTTGTGTGTTTAGTAGAGACGGGGTTTTACCATATTGGTCAGGCTGGTCTCGAACTCCTGACCTCAGGTGATCCACCAGCCTCAGCCTCCCAAAGTGCTGTGATTACAGTCCCAGTGATTGTAATGCAAGCAAAGTTTGAGAGCCACGGCAGTAAGCACCCAAGAAATATAAGTTGATTGATTGATTTCAATTTATTGCTGTTAGAAATACGTCACGAAGGCTCTGCCTTCGGAAAGCCCCCAGAGCGGCTGTCAGCTCTGACTGCACACTGAATCACCAGTGTTGCCTTCACGGCTGAGGCTGGGTCCCACCCACAGAAATCCTGATTTAACTGGTTTGGGTGCAGCCTGGGCCATGGGCAGGTTTTAGCAGCTCCAGGTGATCCTAAGGCACTGGCAGTGCTGAGACCCACCGCTCTAAGCCCCGTGGCTATGTGGAACTAGCCTTCGCCTTTTCTGTGTTTGCTCTCCCTGCACTTGAGATTCTGGTGATAACACAGGCACCAGGAACACTTTCCTGGGCTGACTGATGAGACCAGGGGGCAGGCATCCCAGGATCATTCTGGATCTGCTTGGAAACGGTGGCACACCTCACTCTCTCATTCCTAGCAGCGTGGCTGGCTGGGCAAAAGCCCTCTCTCTGGGCCTCGGTTTCTTCTTCAGCCCAGCGGGAACAGTCCTTCTGTCTAACCTCATGGGGTTACTGTGACAGCCTGCTGTGACAGACGAGGTTGGAAGTGGATGTAAGGTGGGAGAGTTGCAGCCTGCACCCCTGAATTTCTTAAACGCCCAGGCTTGTTCACAACACACCATCATGCATACACTTGTTGCGTGCATGGCCAGGGAGGGGGCTGGGCGACAATAGCTGCCTCCCTTATTCCGATGGACTCAGGCCACACTGGTGTGGACTCAGACCCTCTATGCTCTGAATGAGGGCCGTTAGTGCAGACCTGGATGGGGCTTATGGCTCACGTGATCCTGGGAGCTGGGCAGCACAACAGCGCACCGGGCAGTATGTTCACAAGCCAGTGGTGGCCTGGCGAGATGGTGTGCCCTCCTGAAGGCCACATGGCCAAGGAACCATGGAGCTGGAAGAAGATGCCGGGTTGGATGGGGGTCCCACAGCAATGGAGGCAGCAACAGCGGGGTGAGGACCAGGTCTGCAGACTCAGAGCTGGTTTCTCCTCTTGGCCACTGCATATCACTGGGAAGAATGGGTGGCCTAAGTCATTGGCTTACACTGGATCTGAGAGTCGGGGATGGGCCCACGAGGCCTCCACTCAGAGTGTGGTGTGGGGCAGGGGATCTCCCCGCCAGGCAGCACCCTGGCAGGGGTTCAGAGGCCCCCAGGAGACCCTGCAGGCCCCGATCTCTCCCTGTGCTCCCTCTCTGCCCACCAGTTTGCTACGTCTCAGCCTTGGTCTTGTCCTGCTCACTGACCTTCCTGGTCCTGATGCGCTCACTGGTGACACACAGGTGGGTGGCAGGCTCCAGCTCCCCTGGCTCAGCGGTGGGGAAGGAGTGGAGTCCTGTGGGCCTGCGGGGAGGCCCTGGGGCTGAGGGAGGGAAGGGCTCTGCCGGCCCAGGCTGTCACGGAGCCCACCTGAGTGTGGCCGCCCATGGTGGAGGGAGAAGGTGGGGCTGGGGCCGCCCTTGGACCTTCCTGTCTGGTTGGGGAAACGTCTGTGAGTATGCGGGACACAGGGCACCACCAACTCAGGGCGGCGTGTGGAGCTTGCCCTCAGAGTAGGGCCCACTGGGTGGGCTGGATGAGAGGGAAGGTGGCCTGGGGAGGCTACACGTGCCTGGAAATGGAAGAAGAGGTAGGAGGTGAGGACTGTGGAGGTGACAGCAGAGGCTGGGGTGGCCCTGCCCTGTGAGAGTGTGGGTGATGGGTAGCCTGGAGGCACAGGGCACTGGAGAGGCAGTGCGGGTCTCACCATGCCACCTCGCTTGCCCTGCAGCGGTGAAGGGTGAGGAGCACTGAAGGCCCAGGGCAGGTGGAAGGGGCAGCCTGGGCACTAACCCATGTCAGAGAACTGGCCCATGTGTCCTGTGCATGTGCCAGGCCTCAGAGCTCCTCCCAGGGATCCTTTTCCACAGACCACCCCCTCCTCCTCCTGGCATTCAAGGCTCCCCAGCCAGTGCCCGCCTTACTTCCATCCCTGGTGGCTGCGCTGTGTGTCACTTCCATTCTCACTGTTGTTTCTCACTTTTCTGACTTGGCTCAAGTTGAGCCTTCTGCCTGGTTTTGTCTTCCTCATTCACCCTTTAAGTCTGCTCAGATATCACCTCTTCCAGGGAGCCCTCCCTGACTTCCCAGGTCAGGTTAGTGGCCTCCTCTCGGCTCCCACAGTTCTGGGCTTCCCTGCTGATGGCTGTGGGTTGAAATTCTTTTGGAAGTTTGGCCAGTTGCTGGCCCAGAGGAGGATTTAGGGAGAGCGTGGTGCTCTCTGAGGTCTCTGCCTCCCTGGCTCCAACCCCAGGACCAATCTTCAAGCTCTGCACCGAGGAGCTGCTCTGGACCTGAGTCCCCTGCACCGGAGTCCCCATCCCTCCCGCCAAGCCATATTCTGTTGGATGAGCTTCAGTGCCTACCAGACAGCTTTTATCTGCCTTGGTAAGCCCCCCATGCCCGCCACAGCCAGCCTTGGACTGGGCCCCACCTCGGACACTGGCCCCAGTGGAGAAGTGTGCTTTCAAGTACTGTCCTCAGAGTTTGTACTTGCTCTAGGGCAACAGCAAGAGGAGGGACCCCCCTGCCTTCCCTGCCCTTAGGAAGCTTACTCAGGGTGGGGGTACAGGAGCCCTCAGGAAATTGAGTGAGTTCCCCCCATATGGAGGTGAACCCTGGGTGCCACCAGGTATTTACATGGGGGGGTGGACCCAGGTCTGGAGGTGTCAAATTCAAGATGGCACATTCCTGCTTAAGAAAGGGCTGTGTCGGTCTGGGCGCAGTGGTTCACGCCTGTACTCCCAGCACTTTGGGAGGCCGAGGCAGGCAGATCACGAGGTCAGGAGATCAAGACCATCCTGGCTAACATGGTGAAACCCCGTCCCTACTAAAAATACAAAGAATTAGACAGGTGTGGTGGCCTGCGCCTGAAGTCCCAGCCACTCAGAAGGCTGAGGCAGGAGAATCGCTTGAACCCTGGAGGCAGAGGTTGTAGTGAGCCGAGATTGAGCCACTGCACTCCAGCCTGGTGACAGAGTGAGAATCCATACAAAAAAAAAAAAAAGAAAGAAAAAGAAAAGAAAAAAGAAAGAGCCGTGCCACAATAGGCTACCCACAGAGGTAATGAGATCCCTGTCACTGGAGGTATGCAAACAGGGTTTCATGGATATTGTTGGAGTCTGCAAAGGGGGTCCTGCCCTGAGGGAGTTGGACCAGATAACCTTCCAGGATCCCTCCCAGCCCCAGGTTTCTGACTCTCCCCTTGGGTACTGCAGTGAGAAGAGCACCCTGCAGGGTGAGGGACTATGACCAGCATCGCACATCCAAGGGCCTTGTATCTCTCCCTCCAGTTCCTTCTGCTCTCACCTCCTAGCGGGAGGAGAAGGACGGTAAAGGAGGGGAGGAATTACTAGGACAGAAGTCACAGTGTCTGTTCTTGGTAGCCCTTATGCTCCAGGCCCTTTTGCAGGCATGGTCCTCTAATCAACTGGCCAGATTATTTCGATAGGCAGTCCTCGGCACCTACCGTATGCCAGGCACTGGCTTGAAGGAAAGCAAACACCAGTTTAAAATGTAGTCTTATCCCCAGTAACACAAACTCAGGAGAGACTGGAGGGAAATACCAGTTGCAAAGTATTTTGTGATTTTAAGAGTTTCCGCAGATGTTATCTTATCGGATCCTTATAACTGCCTCTGAGGTAGGGACTATTATCCCCATTTTACAGAGGGAGAAACTGAGGCTCAGAGAGGGAATGTGATTTGTTCAAGGCAGCATAGCGAGGCAGTAGCAGAGCAGAGATCTAAGACCAGGCTGCCCAATTCCAAAGCCCCTGGTTCTGGGGGTGGCGGGGATGGCCAGCTTTCATAGAACCTGTCGTCTGTCCCCGTGCCACTCCTGCCCCGGGCAGGGCTTCTGGTGCAGCAGATCATCTTCTTCCTGGGAACCACGGCCCTGGCCTTCCTGGTGTTCATGCCTGTGCTCCACGGCAGGAACCTCCTGCTCTTCCGCTCCCTGGAGTCCTCATGGTGAGTGACGCAGGACATGGAGGGCTTGGGGACTCCTTCTTAGAGGTCCGCTAACGGCGACCACTATTGGCAGGCCCTTCTGGCTGACTCTGGCCCTGGCTGTGACCCTGCAGAACATGGCAGCCCATTGGGTCTTCCTGGAGACTCGTGATGGACACCCACAGCTGACCAACCGGTGAGGAGGCACCTGGGCTTGTGGCTTCCTCAGGCCCTCAGCCTCTTCTTCAGCGTTGCTCTCTTTCTGTGTCCTTCTCCCTCCACTGCCATCTCTCCCCTCTCCCTATCAAGGAGCCCAGAAGATAGTAGAAAGGGCTCGCATTACCCATAGAGAAAAGGGACAATGTCTCCGCCTACTCCAAAGTGCCTCTCTGCATACCTGGCATGGGGCCGGAAGTACCCCCATGAGCCTTTCTTGCTTTGGGAATCAATCAGCACTGCTGTCCCCTGGATCCTCTGCTCCCTCAAAACCATGCCCCTCCCCACTTTGTAGCAAGGAAGATCCATGTCAGGTGACAAGACTGTGAGAGAACCTTGGCTCCCGGGGGAACTTGGAGTTAGCAGACAGGGGACCTAGAAGGCATCAGGGTCATAGAAAGACCCAGACGGACCTGGACTTAAAGCCCAGCTCTACCACTGAATAGCTGACAGCCTTGGCTAAGTCGCCCAATCTCCCTGGGCCTCAGTTTCCCATCTCCCAGGGTGGTGGGTTGAAAGAGAGAAGGCCTTGCCCAGGGTGGGTTGCACAGAAGACACAGCAATAAATGGTGGGCGCACAGTTCTAGGCATCCAGGTCTGAGCCTGACCCTGGGGAGGGGCTCTGGGGAGGGCCTGCCTCAGCTTTCTTCTCCCACCCCAGGAGAGTGCTCTGTGCGGCCACCTTTCTTCTCTTCCCCCTCAACATGCTGGTGGGGGCCGTGATGGCCACGTGGCGAGTGCTCCTCTCTGCCGTCTACAACACCATCCACCTCGGCCAGATGGACTTCAGCCTGCTGCCACCGAGAGCTGCCACTCTTGACCCTGGTAAGTTCATGGGTTGGGCTGGAGGGTTGCTGAGGCTACCCAGGCAGTGAGGAAGGCGTCCGCCCTGCCCCAGGCCCATGCCAGAGGGTCAGTTCGCCCGATGTCTGCAGCTGCATATGCCACCTGAGTGCCCTGTGCTGTGCCTCGTGTGGTTCTGCAGCATGTGCACTGGGCGTGGGGTGTTCTAGCAGGTCCACTGTGCTAGGCAGCAGCTGTGCCATGCGCCTGGCGTGTCTACAAGCTTGGATGCAGGCTGTGCACGTGCACTGTGTGTGTGTGTGTGTGTGTGTGTGTGTGTGTGTGTGTGTGTGTGTTAGGGGATGTCTGGGTGCCTCTAGTCTGGCCCCTGCTCCCCCAGCACTGCCATCCGCCACCCCACCCCAGGCTACTACACCTACCGAAACTTCTTGAAGATTGAGGTCAGCCAGTCGCACCCAGCCATGACAACTTTCTGCTCCCTGCTCCTGCAATCGCGGAGCCTCCCACCCAGGACCACGGCAGCACCCAAGGACAGCCTCAGACCCGGGGAAGAAGACGAAGGTGCGGCCTCCCGCGGGGAATGGGGGCATAGGGCCTACCCAGCTTCTCCCAGGAAGGATGCATGCCCCTCCCCAGCACTCAGAGTAGGCGCCAGGAAAATTTTCACTTCCTCTCTCCCTTGGCTGCCTTTGGTCGCCCCTCCTGGTCTGATCTCAGGGTAATTTTTTCCGTGGTATGAACACACACATACACACACCCTCAGTGTGCACAAGGAGAGAATGAAACATCTGCGTAGGGGCTCCGTCATTGCCCCCACTTCTCCCTTGGGGCAGGGAGTATGACCTCCTCCTTTCCTTCTGCCCAGAAGTGTGCAGTAGGGAGGGAACACTAAGCCAGCTCCAGGCCCTTGTCCCACCCCACTTCCAGTCTATCCACAGACCTCACTCCCCACTTCCACGCGCTGCCTGCAGGGGACATCCTAAGCCTCACCACCTGCTCTACGCCTGGGATTTTCAGGCTCTCTGCCCAGGTCCCAGGGCTAGGGGAGACTTGGCTGGGTGTTTGTTGAGTGACTCACAGAAAATCTGTCTCTCTCAGGGATGCAGCTGCTGCAGACAAAGGACTCCATGGCCAAGGGAGCAGGGCCCAGGGCTGGCCGCGGCAGGGCTCGCTGGGGTCTGGCCTACACGCTGCTGCACAACCCAACCCTGCAGGCCTTCCGGAAGACAGCCCTGTTGGGTGCCAATGGTGCCCAGCCCTGAGGGCAGGGAAGGCCAACCCACCCTCCTGTCTGTGTTGAGGCGCGTTCCCACCCACCATCCTCCTCCCTCACCGGCTCTCCCAGCATCACCTGGGCCATGCAGCCTGGATCACCGTGGTTGTGTGGAGGTCTGTCTGCACTGGGAGCCTCAGGAGGGCTCTGCTGTGCCCACTTGGCCACAGGAGAGCCAGAAGGACTTTTGAAGAAAGAAACTGGTGGATCAGGGCCTTGCTCCAGGAGCCAGTCAAGCCGGGGCGGCCACATCCAGGCCTCTCCCCACCCTGGCTCTGCCACCAGCCTTGAAGGGCCTTGATGAAGCCCTTTGCTGGAATCATTCCAGCTCCGCCCCCGCCTCGGCCTTGGTCTTCATGCTGTGGAAGCAGCCAAGGTGCTTCCTCTCCCGTTCAGTTCCACGGCCCTCTCTGGGGAGTGGCTGGAAGGCTCCCTGGCCCCTGGCTGCAGGGCAGCCCAAGTCACAACTCAGACCAGGTCTCACACCGAGCCGCCCACACTCGAGAGCCAGATATTTTTGTAGTTTTTATGCCTTTGACGATTATGAAAGAGGTTAGTGTGTTCCCTGCAATAAACTTGTTCCCGAGAAACTGTACTCATAGCGGGAGGGGTATGGAGGGAAAGCCCCGCCCACACTCTCAGTACATCGGCGCTGTGCCTTGATGGGGATGGGGCTTGGGGGGGCCCGGGGTGTCCTGGTCACATGCTGGCCAGACACTGGGTAGAAGGCAGAGAGAACCTGTAGCTGCATCCCTGTGGGTGACAAAGACATTGGAGACCCTACGATGCCCCCCTGAGCCATGTGGATGCTGGCTGCGGAAGTAGGACTTATTCTGGGTCTTAAAGAAGGTGCAGGACTGGGGCGGAGGGGAGAAGTTACTTTAGGAATGCTGGGGAAGCAGTGTGACCCCAGGTGTGGAGGTAGGAAAGGGTGTGACATGTGGGGACACAGTGGGGGCTGCCCTGATGGGAGTAGAGTGAGGACATGGAGGGGAAAGGAGGGTGGAGACAGGCTGGGGTCTTTTCCCTGCTGGAGGCTTGCTGGAGGTTGGGGATGTGTGAATAAGGAAGAGGCCCTGGGCCCACGGAGAGGTGGGGGGCTACAGAGGGTGGGAAGATGTGGTCACCTACAGATCTAGGTCAGCAGAGCCTTGAGAAATGCCTACACAGGCGGTGGAGATCAGCAGTCCCCGGCCCAGGTTCCTGCTACAGCCTCAAACACCTATAAAGGCAGGGGCAGAGGCAGGGACCTCAAACCCATTTTCAAGGCTGCCCCGAGGAGACCAAAGAGGGCACGCTCTGATCCCACTGCTGCCCATTGAAAAAGGCTTCCTGCCCTTGTTTCAGCAACTGACAGAGTCTCAGGGGAGGAGAATCCAGGTTCCCAGAGAAAGGGGCCCTGTTCACACTGGGGGCAGAGGAACATCCAGGAAGGCTTTCTGGAGGCGGTGATGCCAGAGATGACTCTCAAAGACTGACTTAGTCAAATGAAGAACAGGGAAAGGGTGCCCGGGCGGACGGAACAGTGTAAGCGACGGTGCAGAGGATGGCACACCATGGAGCATTAAAGGAACAAGGAATTCGCTGTTCCAAGGAGAGGCAGAAAGGGTGGGCTCATTGGAGGAGCGGGTCAGAGAGGCTCTAAGGGGGCAATTGAGGCCTTACCTGGAGGGCAGTGGGGACCATGGAAGACTGTAAAGCAGGGGAGTAGCTAGTCCACTCAAGCCACAGCCCCTGACCCAGGTCTTAGGTTCAGGTCCTGCTCCAGGAAGCCAAGCCCGCTCAGCTGGGAATGGAGCCAGGGGTGTCCCAGTCAGGCTGGGAATATCAAGCTTAGGCAATCAGAGTCCATTGCACCCTGAAGCAGCACCCTGCCCCACCTTGTCATTTGATTTCTAAGGCAACCGAAGCCCAGACGTGGGCAATGACTTACCCAAGGTGGCCCAGCACATGGGATTTGGCTCCATCCTGCTGTTTTCCACCAGACCTGAGTCATTTTTGTTCAACTTTTATTTTAGATGAGGAGTCATTCTTGATACACGCTGCTGGTGATATCAGCTCAGCAGGAGCTGCAAGTTGATGAGGGGAGAGTGGGCACGGAGAGGGGCTGTATGTGGACCAGGAGGGAGGGAAGAGGGTTGGCCAGCAGCCAAGGTTCACAGCTGCTACCCCAGACTCTTTGGCCTCCTGCCTCCACTTTGCTGAGCTAGCAGTTCTGGGAGCTCTGGACAGAGGCCACAGAGCCTCCCCCTGGGCCATTGTCTCTGCAGGCAGCAGCCTCAATCTTGAAAGGGGTGGGATGGAGGCAGCAGGAAGACATATCTCTGACCTGGCTCAGATAGGAGGTTGTGTGGGGTCTCCAGCTTAGGACCTCATCCTTATGCTCCCCATCTGGAGAGGCTGAAGGTTGCTGTACGTACGTACACACACACACACACACACACACACACACACACACACACACACACACAGAGCAGGCTTGAAGAAGGTTGCTATACGTACACACACACACACACACAGAGCAGGCTTGAAGAAGGTTGCTATACGTACACACACACACACACACACACACACACACACAGCCCAGGCCACTTACTGATCCATCTGCTCCATGGGGAAAGATTCCTACCGGAATCTGCAGTCCTCATTTGGACTTCCTTTTGGAATACCATTTCTTCTTTGGGGGAGGGTAAGTATGATTTGTTTCCCCCAGCTTCTCCCTCTTGTTCCCAGCCTCTCTGGGGCTTTCTCCTCCTCTGTCCTGTGTCCCCTTCTCCGCATGTGTCTCCTCCATCTTGCCCCACCTATCCCCTTTCACCTTTGGTCCCCTTCGTTCCTGTCCATCTCTTCCAGGAGCAGGACAGGGAAGAGGAGCTGCCACTCAGGCACTTCCACTTCCTTGTGTCTCCAAAATGCCTCTTGAAGCCACTGCTGACGTCAGGCCCTGCTCAGGGTGGCCAGCCACCGCAGGCTCCTGCCCCCTGTCCTGTGGGATGCTTTGGAGGACGGGAACATCTGCAGCTCAGCTGACTGCAAGACCCAGCCCCTGGCACAGCACAGGCCAGCCCTTACAGGCTGCTGGGGTCTCAGAGTCCCCTGTCACTGTGGGCAGGTAGGCTGACTGCCCCGACTCTTCAGCTCCTGATCCTGTCTCCACATAGGGGCTCCTAGATGCAGACAAAATTCCAGGCAGACACAGAAGGGCATCAGAAATGCTGTTTATTTCTCTGCTGCTCCCAGGCTGCCTGGCCTTTGCAGAGCAGCAGGCAGCAGACGGGTAGCTGGGGAGAAAGGCAGGACAGGTTAGGGTAGAGGGAGGAGGGGTAAGAGGAAGGGAGGCCCTTCCTGGATCCCCCCATTTCAGTCTCAGATAAGGACAAAGGGACTCCCAAGCCCCCAAGTCATCAGAAAGCACCAAGGAGCAGGAGGAGCTTGAGCAGGCCTGGGAGAGCCTCAGAACCACGCCAGCCTCTGTCTTTACATCCCAGCCTCCTCTGTCGTGCCCTGTCTGCTTCAGACCTCCTCCTGGCCAAGCCCCAACTCTGTTCCCCCACACCTGGCCCTGGCCAGCTCGACAGTCACAGCACCTGGAATTCTCCACTGAGGCTTCTCGCAGCTGGGTTAGGGCATCACCCTGTTAGCATGCTGCCCCTGAAGGGAGAGCATGGGTAACGCTGTTAGCAGCAACGAGCACCACAGACGGTGAGTTAAGGGATCAAATTCTATCCTAGTCACTAGTGCAGAGCAGGTCTAGAAGTCGGCAGTAGCAGGTGCTCTGAAGAGATTAGAAGGAGAGGTAGGAAACCGTGAAGTCGCCCATGCAGGCCTCGGGAGTTGCCAACCCCAGACCCCTGCAGCACTTATAAGAAGCGCTGGCAGGGGCAAGGGGAAGAGTTAGGGAAACGCTGGGGTGGCTTTGGCCCAGTCCCCGTCCGGGTGGGGCTAGAAGGAGGTGAGGAAGAAGAGGAGGAGGCTTTGGCCCAGCAGGAGCAGGCCTGGGGGCAGCTGCCTAGGGACCCCGTCTCCTGCGACTGCAGTCTCGGGGTTCCCAGCACGGCTGAGGTAGATGATGACCACGTTGTCCTCCGGCCCTGATGGCTGCACCTCGTTGTCAACTGTATAGCAGCCCTTTCCCTCAGCCGCTTTGCCGCGGAACCTGTGCCCTAGCGTGTTCTCACCACCTTCGCCTGGTGTAGCCAGCGCCACGTTCACTGAACTCTCGGCGCTGCCCAGCTCATTGGTGGCCAGGCAGCTGTAGATGCCTTCCTCCAGCTTGCCAAATTCAGGGATGAGCAGGCTGCCATTGGCAAAGGCCTGGAAGCGCGGCTGGCTGCTGGCCGAAGGGGTGCCGGGCAGGGCACGCCCATCAGTGTCCACATTGGGGCTGGTGATCTCCACAGTGCCACTAGGTATCTGGATGTGCCAGTGAAGCTGGGGGGCCGGCTGCCCGTCCACATCGCAGTGCAGTGCCAGCACGAAGCCAGGCCGCAGCTCGGCACCATCCTGGTTGGACTGGTAGCTGAGCTGGACGGAGGGCGCCGAGCAGGGCAGCGGTGGCAGGCGTCTCAGCGGCGTGCCCTTGAGCACATGGGGTGAGGTGCAGGCGATGTTGTCCTGCTCCGGGATGGACACGGCCGTGGCCAGGGTCCACGTCTTGAACCACACGATGCCGCAGGTGCAGTCGAAGGGGTTGTCGTTGATCTGCAGGTGGGACAGGGCGGTGAGCGGGGTGAAGGTGCCCTCGGCCAGTGAGTGCAAGCGGTTGTGGTTGATTTGCAGCGAGCGCAGAGCACTGAGGCTGCGGAAGGCGTCCCGGGGGATGGAAGTCAGCTCGTTGCTGTCCATCTTGAGCAACTGGAGGGCACTGAGGTTGTGCAGGTCGCTCCAGGCAAAGTCAGAGATGAGATTGTGGCTGAGGTCCAGGCTCTTGAGATGGCCCAGAGAGGCCAGGGAGCCGGCGGCCACCGTGCGGATCTCATTGTGTGCCAGCCACAGCGACTGCAGCAGGGGCACCTCCCTGAAGGCACCCTCCGGCAAGCCTGGCAGCCGGTTGGCTGACAGGCTCAGTGTAGTCACGTTGGCCGGGAAGCCAAGCGGCATGGCCTCCAGGTCACGGTAGGCACAGTCGACGATCTGGAAGCTATACTTCTCCCCGCAGTCGCAGGGCTCCGGGCAGGCCTGCGCCAGGCCCAGGAGAACCACCCACCAGAGCAGACGCAGCTCCTGCATGGTGCCTCCTGCAGAGGAGGAGAAGGGCCTGTCACCCAGGGGATCCCGAGGACCTGCCGAAAGGACTCATTCCTCCCACAACCCCAGCCAGAGCTCTTTCCCATCAGGCAGCCCTGCCGCATATGACCCAGCTAAAGCCCAGCACCACCTAGCCCACTACCCCCATCCTACACCAGGGGAAACTGAGGCCCAGAGCAGGGCTGGGACTTGCTCCAGGTCACGCAGCCAGGCAGGGTGGAGACAGGTTGGAAGAGCACCTCAGCTCCTCCTCCGAGTGGAGCGTTCTCCCTGCCTTGGCCTGTTCCTACTTGACGCTAGGACTCAAAATCT